CACACACACACACACACACACACACACACACACACACATATACACACACACACTAAAATATGACTGAGGTTGACAGCACTGGAACAGTAGTTAGCACACAGTAGGCTCAACAGATCAGCTAAAACAGGTAGATTAGGCCACAGCCCCGCTCTAAACCTTCCAGTGGCTCCCCATTTTGTTCAGAGGAAGAAGCAAAGTTACAAAGGCCCAATAAGGCCCTTCTCAAACTGGCCCCATTACCTCTCTGATGCTGTTTCCTACTGCTTCCCCATCATTCACACGGCTCTGGTCACACTGACAAAGATGTCCCCCACCAAGCCCTGCCCTAACGCCTTTGCATTCATTGTACCCTCTTCCTAGATGGCTCTTTTTCCAGATGTCCTAAACTTGTACCTTTACCTGTTCACAAATGTTTCCTCAGTGAGGACTAACCTGATTACCTGATTTAAAATTACAACTCCTTAACCTAGTCCCATGATCCCAATCCCCTTTATGTGCTGCTGGGTTTATTTTCTCCCTAGCATGGATCACCTTCTAACTTACCATATAATTTACTTAAGTATAATCTTTACTTATACATCATGTTTCTTATTAGTTTTTTTCCCCTAAAATACAAGCTTCCTGATGACTTGGGAGTTTGTCTGTTGCTGACTAATGTATTTATTTGACAACACCAGAAGAGTGCCTTGCACACAACAGACTCTTATTAAAAATTGTTGAATTAATAATATTTGCTGATTAATAATCTCAGATGCGGGGGCTATATATTCTAGAAAAGAGGGAAACTATTTGCCTTATATGAATTACAAAGAAAAAACCTCAGTGTTTGGGAGAGTCTGAAGCAATAGTGGCAGTGGAGAGATCTGTTGTTCATTCTCCCATCCTAACATCTTCTAAAGGCTGAAAATCGGGGCGCCTGGGTGGCGCAGTCGGTTAAGCGTCCGACTTCAGCCAGGTCACGATCTCGCGCTCTGTGAGTTCGAGCCCCGCGTCGGGCTCTGGGCTGATGGCTCAGAGCCTGGAGCCTGTTTCCAATTCTGTGTCTCCCTCTCTCTCTGCCCCTCCCCCGTTCATGCTCTGTCTCTCTCTGTCCCAAAAATAAATAAATGTTGAAAAAAAAAAAAAAATTTAAAGGCTGAAAATCAATACATGCAGAAGAGCCAGACATGGAACAGTGCCGAGCCCGAGCGTGCAACAGTGTGCTAGGAACATGGTTGGCATTCTCTAGGGAAGAAACTTCAGATTGGTTGTGGGTGTAGGGCAGAGGAGAAGGTTTCTCTTCTCTTTTTTTCTCCATAGCAAATAGCGTCTTAATGAGTCTTGACAATTACACACAAACACTTGAGGATCAAAAGAAGAGTAATTAGTAATGCTATTTAATACTCCTTTCTCTCCCTCTATAGAGAAAATATAAAGTGTAATCTGAAGAGTCTTCAGCAGATCAACAGTTCTGTTTTAATTAATTAGCTAACAGAAATCAGTTTTCCATTATACTGTCAGTCTCTTTTTGTTTAAAAAGAAATGATCAGATAGACATTCCTTTTGGGGAAGTGTTTTTTGGATGCCTTGGAGTTTATGACTGGGAAGAAATATTCTTAAACATTTGAAGGTCTTGGAACACTGAAGCGAAATATGAATATGTGTGCGTATCTTCCTGATACCAATTCTTTCATTTCAGGCAAGTTGCTTATAAATCAAAACAAATTTTAAGGGAAAACAATGAATCATCTGAAGCATAATTAAAAGTGAAGTTTGTGGGATAACATGAACACTAATGGGAAAGTAGTAAGATTACATTTAATAAAAGGAGAGGATATATTTCCTATCAAAGTTATGGAAGACGAAACTAAAGCAATTTTGCGTAAATGACTCTCAACATTATTTAATAAAAATAGCTTACTTAATGAAACAGAATGTTGTTTCCTAGCATTTAAAAAAATTAAAACTACATGCAGCTGTCTCTCTGCACTATCACCTGGTTGTGTGAACCCTTTAGGGGTCTGTAGCCCCCTTACCAATGGCTGCACTACTACTCTCCTGCCCTAACACTTTCTAGTGGTCAGACTGACAATACTCCTGAGATTTTAAAAAATGATTTCAAGATATTTAAATGCTACACAACATGGATGGAGCTAGAGCATATTATGGTAAGCGGAGTAGGTCAGTCAGAGAAAGACAAATACCATATGATCTCAATAATATGCGGAATTTAAGAAACAAAACAGATGAACATAGAGGGAAAAAAAGAGAGAGGCAAACCTTGAAACAGACTCGTAACTACGGAGAACAAACTGAGGGTTGCTGGAGGCGGTAGGGGGATGGGAGATATAGGCGATGGGTATTAAGGAGGGCACTTATGATGAGCACTAGGTATGGTATGTAAGTGATGAATCACTAAATTCTACTCCTGAAACTAATATTATACTATATGTTAACTAGCTAGAATTTAAATAAAAACTTGAAACAAACAAAAAGATATTTAAATGCTACTAGGTTGTCAAAAGCTTAAACCCCAATCATTCAATTAGTGACAAGAACAGACGTGCTGGGATGGGGAGTCTAGTCCTCTGTTTGCAAGGAGCACTGGGAAGTTAGAGGAGTTGCTTATGAAAATGTCACATGACAACCTTCCATTAGCCAGCACTATGGTGGGAATCATACTGCAGGACATTAGAGTGTCAGACCAACGTGTTGTACATCTTAAATTTATGCAATGTTATATGTCAATTATAGCTCAATAAAAATTTTTTATTTTTATAATTTTTAAAAAATGCTTCAATAAATGGAAAGAAGAAAACCACTGACTGAGAGGCAGTCTCAGACTGGAGAAAGGATGTGAGTAAAAGCAGAAATGAATAAGTGGGCTACCAGCAAAACACTCAAAATCCTTTTCTTATAATCAAAGTCAGCTATTCCCACCAAGGTAATCAAGATAAACATTAAAGTTAGATACTTCACAGGGCTATATAAACAAAATGAATACACATATATAATTTAAAACTTACAAGCAATAAACGATATTTGCTCAATTTGAAAGCCAGAGCAGTCTGGGTCCGATACTACCTTGGGCCCAACATTTGGAGATAAAACCCCATTATTAGAAATAGAAAAGCATATTAATTACATAGCAGATTTTCAAAAACAAGTGTTATACTTACCAAATAGATTGCAATGACTCAAAATTATCCTTACGAAGTATCCAACATTTATAAAATATTGTTATCCTTACCTGTAAATTTTCTTTACTAGTAAGAGGTTTTCCTGAGTCAAATGATTGAAATATCTGTCAATATATAAAGCACTAACGTTAGAAACAAAAGTATTGTTTTTTTAAATTAAACTGTTAATGTGTTCTAAAAGTATTTTAAATGTAATTTTTATTATAAAAGCAATACATGTTCTAGTCAGAGAGATGAGTATAGAATAAAGAAGAAATACACATAAGTCAACTTCTTTTAGGTTGTCAATGTTAATATTTTGGTGTCTTTACTACCAATTTTTTTGATGTATTTTAAAATTACACTGGGGCGCCTGGGTGGCTCAGTCGGTTAAGCGTCCAACTTTGGCTCAGGTCATGATCTCACGGTCCGTGAGTTCGAGCCCCGCGTCGGGCTCTGTGCTGACAGCTGAGAGCCTGGAGCCCGTTTCAGATTCTGTGTGTCTCTCTCTCTGCCCCTCCCCTGCTCATGCTCTGTCTCTCTCTGTCTCAAAAATAAACATTAAAAAAATTTTTTTTAGTAAAAAAAAAAAAAAATTATATATATTTGTATTCCTTTTCATTAAAAATTGCATCATAATTATTTTTCCATGTCATTAAGTCATTTGTAAACCTCAGTCTAATAACTAAGTAATGTTCTATGCTACGAATGCATCATAATAACTCCTTTCCTTTTGTTAGACATCAGGGGGACATCTCACCATTCAGCCCTAGTTTAAATAACACGCGTGACTATTTTGTCTGTATTTCTCATTATCCCCTTTGGATAGATTCCTGGGAACAGAATTGCTGGGTCATAAGAGTATTAGAATGAGTATTAGCATTTAGAAAAATCTTTGCCAGTTTGAGGTAAAATCATATTACTCTTTAGAATAACTCTTTTTGTGGTTCTTTTCCTTTATTGTGAATGACCTGTCAATATGTTTGGCTCTAAATATAATGCCACATTAGGAAACATTCCATTTATTTGCCACAGGAGATGGTTGTATCGTTGTGCAGAATGCATTCCTCTTGGTACAGAGGCCCTTTTTCAAAGATGCCAGTACTGATGCCATGCCCATATCCCCTGGGTCATCTGGAAGACACCAGAAGCTTCTGTGGATAGGTTACTCACTGATGGACAGTATCCTACTTCAAACACCTGTATGCCTTTGCTTGAGGGCGTTCTGTGGCCACAGAAGTATTCAGGAGAGTCTGGAAGTACAGGGAGTAACCCAATCCAATGAGCACAAGATTGTTCTCCCTGGTCTCTGAGGGCCTGATTGTCCACACAGTGACTCATTAATACTCTCTGCAATAGTTCTCCTCCCTTCCCTATGTGACTTACCACACACTCACCGTTCTCCCTGATATCACTTCCCAAATATACTACTTGCTCCCAAATCCTTGTCCTAGAATCTAAGGGATTTGAGGGACCCCTAAACCAAGACATCACAGATAGCTCTTACTGGAATAAAGTGCTGGTAACTGTTAACAATTTTTTCCCTTTTTTGACGTATTTTTTATCTTCTCTAATACACTGAAAAGTGAATACATGAATCCAAGGGAAGACCTTTGTTGATATAATGGGAAAAAAGCTGATGATGGACTTAGATTTGGTGATAAGAGCAGAATCCCAATATGAGTATCATGTTAAAAGATAGAATTTTTTTTAGTCTGTGAAAAGTCCAGTAGTAATCTGTAAGACTTTTTCAGTTACTTCTTTTACAACTAAAATCTAATTAATTAATCCTTTCTTTAAATAACTAGCCTGCAGCCTAATAACATTGGCACCTATTTTAATTATAAACCCTGAACGCATTTCCTCTTTTAATTACACTTTTTAAGTTCCCAATTGAAGCTGGAAAGCTTCAAATTAACTTGGAGAATACAAAATTTAAAGTCACAATCTATTTAAAGACAATTCACCCATACTTTTCTCTCATGAAAACTAGATAATAAAAATGAAGTTGGAATTTACCTATAAAGATGAGTTTCATACTGTTTGTTTTGGTGAAGGCAATGAACGTTAAAAACTCTCTTTTGTTTCTCTTTCTACCCAGCTAGTTTTTCTTTCCTTATCTTTCTGACCTCAAAATGTGGATGACTCCAACGTTTAGTCCTCTGACTTCTATTTCTCTCTCTCTGCCCTACCTGATTTCATCCAGTCTCATGATTTTAAATTTCTATGTTAATGCTCCCAAATTTACCAGGATCCACTTCCACCACTATTACCCCAACCACTGTCATGTCTCACTCATGTTATCTGCAAAGGCCTTCTAACTGGTTTCCCTATTTATACCCATGCCCAACTGCAGTTTTTTCTCCAAACAGCAGGCAAAGTGGTCCTTTGGAAAGTAATTCTTATCCTGTCATTCCTCTGCTCCAAACTCTATAAGGCTTCTCATCTTATTTAGAGTAAACGCCAGTCCTCACCAAGCCCTAAGAGGTCCTATATGACTGTAGTTCCTGAGTCCCGCCATCTACTACTGTTCTCTCTTTTACCAGCTCCACTTTGCCTCCTTGGTTTTCCTCAACCACATCTTGCAGGTATCTCTGTCAGGGCCTATGCCCTTGTACTTCCTCCTATTCCTATCCCTCCCTCGAATCTTTCACCCTCAAAACTCCCTTATTAGAGAGACTTCCCAAACCACCTTGAATAAAATAGCCATCCACTGCCCTAACCACTCTCTGTCCCCTCAACTCAGCTTGGGTGTCCCTCATGGTACATCATCACCTGACATATCTTTATGTGCTTAATATGTTTATTGTTTGTCTTCTTCACTGGACTGTCCAACAGTAACATGTTTCCAAAAAGGCAACATCTCCATTTATCTTTTTACTGGTCTATCCCCATGACTAAAGTAGTGCCTGTATTCAGTAGGCACTCAAAAAATATTTTTAAATAAATTAAAATATAATTTTAATAACAAAATGCAAACCATTTACATCAGGAAAGGCTGTTGGCTGAGAAGCAAGCAAGAAAATATTGTCAATTTAACCCAGGTAAGAAGATGAGTTAGTTCATGCCAAGACAATGAGCAAAAACACCGACTGATTCGTCTTTGTCTAGACACATAGACAGATAGATAGACAGATAGATAGATAAGACAGAGATAGAGATGTATATACATATACACACAGATGTATCCTATTGCCTACTGAATGTCTCTCTTACGAGATAACCTCACACTTGCCCTAGAACAACAAATTATAATGCTATAGCAGTCATATTGAGAAATAAGCAGTGACATTTTAGGGGAATACACTGAGGTAATGAATGCATTGTATGTATATTTAATTTCAGTTGCTACAAGTAATTTTCAAGACTTACAGCCTATTTCCCAGCTTCTTTTAGTTCTTCCAAATTTGAATGTCACCAGTATGTACTGTGTCTGCCAGTCTCACTCCTCACGCGTACAATCTCCCCCAGGAAACTGACTTATTACCTCCTATTTCCTTTATTGCTGGATCACAAGGGTCCAAGCTGCTGCAAGATCACTCAGTGATTCCCATGAAACCCAAAATAGTGGGAAAAATGGCTCCCTCTGATTTAAATATAAATGCCAGTATTCATTTTCAAGGATGTTTCAATTATCTAATTTACAAACACAATTTGAACAAAACATGCTTAACACTTTGGTATACAATATATAAATCAAAAAAATATCCAAATAAAACATGAGGAGAGACTGTTTTGACTAACAACATTAGCCAGAAATTGTAAGATTAGACGCCAAAGTCTAAGAGGTAGTAGCTGATAAATGTGTCTACTGAGACCGTCCATAACATACAGACAGAATTCCACTGTAAAAATCGACTCCAATACCATACTCCCCCACATGACACCCTTCCATTCCAGACAAATGAAACCTTGTAAAAGCCTACTGTTAGCTATAACCAGGCTTAACAAAGAGGTTTGCAGTACCAGAGACTTGTAAATACACTTTTGTAGAAGTATTCCCTAAATTTTAGGAATGTAGCCTTCAAGAGGTAAAGAAATGGCTTTGAATCAAACAGCAGATTTACCTTCACTTTTCCAGTAGCTTTACAGCCTGCAGGTATTGAGGAAGGCATGTTTTTTCCATAAAAAATCTGGGATATCTCATAAAAGGCTTCAGAAAAAAATCCTAAATCTGTAAGGACTTCTATCTTTAAAGGAAAGAAAAAGAAATGAGATTTTAAAGTAAATGATTTGTGTTACTTACAAAATAACAATTTTAGAGAAAAGTCATCAACTTTCTGAGTTCTAAAATTTCTGCTTAATACTGGCAATGCCGTCTAAACTAATGCTTGGTAAACACAGTGGATGGAGATGTATGTGTTTGTGTATAAGCTAGTTTACATGTGCAATAGACCAAGAAGCTGATAAACAACAGCAGGCAATTGTTCAAAGCAATGGACATTTGTCAGATGTGGCTTACTTCATCAGAGGCAAACACAAAACATAGCAGGCATAGAAGGGTTAAAAAAATAACTAAAGTTATTTTTTGCTCCCATAGTGAACTATGGCTTAAAAGAAAAACAAAACAAAAACACTCCTGATGTTCTTTAATACTCTGAGCAAAGTGAAACAAACCAGGAGATGAACTCTACAATGGATCAACATAGAGACAACTATTTGCTTTGTCCCCATGATTAATGGACACTGTCAATTTTAAAGACATATCCTTAAAATTAGTCAATTGGTGACTATGCATTGTGTGTGGTTCAATTTGAATATTATCCAGCAAGACTTTCAATCAGGAAATTATGGGAAGAAATTTCCTGAACAAAGCCATTCAATCGTTCAACATGTTTATTGGGCACCTCTTATGTACCAAGCCCTCTTGGATGTTACGTTCCTTCCGGATGTGTATTTAGCTAAGTTTAAATGATACATGAAGATCTACACAGTATTATAAGGGATGGAGGGTAATGACAAAATGCTACTCTCAACATTCCAGTCAAGGAGGACTTCTCTGAGAAGACATACAAGAAAAAATTGGGGAATGACGTGAGAGAGAGAGACATGTGGAAAATCTGCTGAAGAAACTCAAGCACAAAAGTCATGTGGCCATAGGAGCAGTCTGGGAGTCCTGGGGTGCTCAAGGAAGAGCCTTGTGGCAGGAGTTTAGGGAGAGAGGGGAAGAGGGTTAGGAGGTAGTTATGAATGGTGGCCTGTAGACCAGAGTAGGAACTTGGAATTTTATTCTCTGTGTGATAAGAAGTTATTAGAGCATTTTGAACAGGGCATGGTCCTAACCTGACTTACATCTTGCAAACTCCAGTGATTGTTGAGAGTAGAGAAGAGTAAATTGTGCAAGCAGGGAATGAAATAAAAAATTGGATGAAGCTCATATGCATATAATACACATACATACACATATACTTGTTATCTCTTTTCCACTAAGCACCACCCTAGGAATCTCAAACCTATATAAATTTTAAAGAAATAAAAAGAAGGTAAGTTCGGGGTAAATAAGATGTGACAATAACCTGAACAAAACATAAAAGGTTTGGGAGAATATTTTCAATGGAGAAGAGAAAACTGCTTGTCTATCAAGTTGCATACTTTGGTTCTTGCCTAAGATACCTTGGGCTCTAAACTCCCCAGTACCATATAATATCAAAGTAGGCATTAGGGAGTCATATGAGCTCTTTTAGACTTCTAGATGAACATTTTTTTTCTTATCCCTTGCAGGAAATGCTGTGCAAGGTTAGTCTCTTCTGGTCTTGGCTGTGAGAAGGCTGTAACATGAACTACCTGTAACTGCGAAGCCTACCTCTGGTTTCAGTTCATCATACCAATCTGGCCATTTGAAAAAGCAATGGCAATAATAATGAACATGTATTTTCAGAAATGGCCAACGGTGTGAACATAAACAAGCCAGATGGAAGAAAGAACTACCCTTAAACCAACCCTTTACTCGCACAAATACAGAACTATCAGTACCCGTCCCGTGAATGCTGGATGTGTTGAGAGTAATAAATCTTTCAGAATGTTGGCAGTTCTAAAGTGAAGCCAGACTGGCTGATCATAAAGAGGTCTTAAAGCTTTCCCTGAAAGACACTAGTGCACAACCGAAACTTAACAGCTTGATCTATTGCTGTTTAACTTGTCAGAAAGTATTGTTTGCTATTTCCTGACTATGACTTTTCCCTCTTCCCACTCACTGACCCCAGTTTACTTCAGAAAGGTCAGGCCAACTCTACTCAAACAGGCTGTCATTTCTTCCTCTCTATGATGCATCAGTTGCCCTTTTTCATTGTTTCTGTCAAAACCCTAGTCAGGTTTATCTGTTCTACTATGCCAGCAAGACACCAGTTCCATCTTGCTCTGCTCCTGACACTGTTACCAGATACATCTGATCATGTCCTTCTTTTGATCAAGATTCTGCAATTCATTCCACCTCTCCACCCAAGGCTGCAGACTACAGTCCACAGTTCTTCACTGGCTTTGAAGCTACTCTAGTACAAAAAGTTTCCAAGTGCTAACAATCCAATAAAACACAAACTTAGCTAATCAAAAACTTAGGTCCAGATTCTATCTTTCAGTGCCTCTCCGGATCTCCTTCTGACACGTTACTAACGGTCACTGCAACCCTTCCATGCTTCTCTTGCCTCTAAATGACAGACCAGAATAAAACTGTTACCTAGTTCTGATTTCATAATCTCCTCATTTCTCTCACTGTTCAGCCTCCACATTATGCTTCAGTTTGGAAGTCAGGACTGGGCCCCCTTCATGGACATCATGGACCACAACATGCACCTCTGGGAGTCTCATACAACCTTCTCCCTACTCAAAACCTCCTCTCTGGCTTCACTCAACCACCACTGCATGCTTAGAGTCAATGCTGTCTCATTTCTGTATCTTTCACATTGTTGTCTGCCCAGAATGTTCCCTTCTTCCTCTCCCGCTGAGTTACTTCTGCTTTCTTCACCAAATCTTACCTACTTAGTAAAATCAAGAGACCCAAAGCCATTTTCCCTCTTTCAAACTCCAGAAGACAGTGCTCATCATATTCATTTGGAAACAATCAAGGGGCAGATGCACATGATATTGTTTTGTGTATACATCCTGTCTCTCACTTCCTTATAAGCAAGAACCATGGGTTACATTTCTTTAATTAGCTACTAACATAGTGCTTTTATATAGGAGATACTCAATAAATGTTGTTTCAGAGGTAAAGCAATAAATGTTTACCAAGTATCTTCTAGGTGAGTTCCCACTAAACACTAAAAAGTATGGACAGTAGGCCCTTGATAAATGTCTATAGATTTTAATTTCAATTCAATAATTAATTACTGAATATCAATATATGAATTTATTTCTCAATATACAATAGGAAACTAAAAGATGAATGTGATACAGGCCCTAACCTCAAGAATTTTGCAATTTTGAATAGAGCACTGTCTTGAAAAGACAGAGAGAGAAAAGTTATATGCAGCTTTTAAAAAAAGTGTCACTGGAAATCAAAAGCAGGAGAACTCTTAAGAGTTCACTAGGTCAGAAAGAGTGATCCAGAAATTTTCATGCTGATAAAAAATCATTTATTCCTGAGTTAAAATATATTCTCTTAATAGCACCAGAATTCCTCTTAGGGAAGGTATTGTCTTTATTTAGAAATAGAATGCAATGGACTATTTGGGTCTGAAAACACAGCCCAGAGACAGGATCCAGATAGAGAGAAGAGTTCAAAGGGAAGTCTAATTTTCTCTCATTATAAAATGAGAAAGCTTTGTGGAAGAAGGGTAGAAGGTATTTCCAAAAAGGGACAAGGAGGGGTAAGCCAGTGGTGTGTTGGAGCCCACTTACTCCCAAGGACAAGAGGAAATTGTGCACATCTTGTCTCAATTCCACATTCAGTAATGCCCGGTTGGTAGGCTGAAGTCAGCCGTAGGGGGAATATTTGTACCATGGAAACTGAAAATGCTACAAATCAGGGCTTTTTTTTAGAGTGAGGTGTGAAACATTTACCAGCACACATCTGATTAAGCCATGGGATGAGAGGCGAAAGCATGAGATGTTGGCTAAGAAATATTTTAAACTCAGACATGCCAAACATTCTATTTTAAATTGTTTGTTTTTGCCTCAACTTAAGTTTTCCTGTGTTCCAAATTTTTACTAAGTCCAATACAAAAAGACAGGCCTTGGGTGACTGTGTTGTGTATGTCTGTGTGTAAGTGAGTGAGTGAGTGAGTGTGTGTGTGTGTGTGTGTGTGTGTGTAAAATGGGAATTAGGGCTGAATTCCATAGTCAAAATGAGGAGGTGCAGAACAGGGAGCAAATCTGCTGCATGTTGAGGTGATCCACGTACCAAATGGATTCAGCAGAAGTGGACTATGACCACAGCTAAGTAGGAAAATGGGCAGAGAAGATGAGGTGCTTGAAGTACCCACTCCACATGGGGTTGGAGCCAACTGCATATGACTCTTGAGGGCAGAGAACCTCACCTGACTTCTAGGTTACAGGATTAGTTATAATTCAGCATCTGTGTGTTTTGTCATGTCAATTGCCTATGCAATGAAAACTTCTCACATATCATGATATAAAGATCCTTAGCAAGAAGGTCACAGAAACTTCAGAAAACTGACTCATTAGTCTCCACCCAGAGACCAACATTTCAGAAGTGGTGATTTCCAGGCTGACTGATGCTGGGTGAGCCTTTTTCCTGTGTGTAGCTCTTCCTCACCTTACCGTGGTCCAAGCATAAAACGATCTAACCATTCTAATTAGCTCTCTCTCATACTTTATTATAATAACGGGCAGGGTTTTTTTTTTTTATGTCAGTACACCATATTATTATCAGCTTATTATTACGAGTATTAGAACCAAATTCATTTATGAAAATATTTTATAGTTCAAGGATATCAAATATCTTAAAAGTTTGTGACATACCTTGAGGATCCTTGCTTCTAGATTTCTGACTAGGTCTTGGCAAATTCCAGAAACAAAATACTGATACAATGCAAGGAGAGGCAGAATCTACCAATGGTAAAAACATTTTTTGATTTAGAACATGTTTTATCAAGTTAACAACCTAAAAATAAAATGTAGCCAAATTTAATGTAGGAGATGTTATGCAAAAGAGCAATTGATTTTGTCACGCTAGGATCCTCTATCATTTGGCATAAATGAAACAATCTGCCTAGCATAAGCTTCATGATTTTATGAGAACCTAAAAGTGCCACCAGGGGGACTTTTAGATGCCGCTTGGTACCCAAAACCTAGGTTTTGAATGTCTTTAAGCATGGAAAAGTGAAAATCCAACCAATTACCTTCCTTGAAAAAAATTAACTTAACATATATATGAATCACTGAGGCCTGGAGAAATATTCTAGCAAATAAGCTATCAAATAACTTCAAAATTCAAAGCAAAGGAACTCACGTCCATGTCCCCAACTCTTTCATCTCAATGGCTGCTGCTATTTGTCTTCAACTGGAATAGCTCTATCAGCAAAAAAGTATTTTATAGCATGCCCATTATGTGTCAGGCACTGTTGAATGACAACAAAATCTAACCGGTCCTTGCTTCCACAGAGCAGATAGTCTACTGATTACCCACACGTACTCTTCACATAATATTTTTATTTGCCTAGAATTAACCCCAAAGTTCAACTCCTCTTGAAATCTCATGGGTGAAAGCTTACAAACTATCAATATTTGAGTTGATCCCAGCCACCATCTGGCCAGAGTCAGATGTTGAGGGGATAGGTGTTTGCTTAGACTTCTGAACAGCTTCTGATCTCAACTGAAAACTGAAGTTCCTACAACTGGGCCCTTCCCCCACTGAAGAAAGATAGAGCAAAGAGGACTTTTGGGATCCCCATTATTTATCAAACTATTTCCCATGATTCCATAGCAAAAGGTCTCATAGCAAGTTTTGTATGTGACAGCAGTCTCTTTACCCACTGGGCTTCTTCTGGAGGGTAGTATAATACAGAATAGAAACGGTTTACATGGTGCAAGTTCAGCTAAGGAACCTCTAATTGTCAGTCAACTGGCAGCTGCTAATAGCAATAGCTTTTTTAAATGGTTTAGAACTGGTCTTAAATGATTTCAAACATAATACTTTTTTTTTACAATTATGCACAACAAACATAACACAATATCTTTTTCTACAATTAATGCAGCACAAAACAATAAGATTTGGCTATTACCTTTTAGGTTGTTTCTTTTCTTTAGTAAGGAATAAAAACACACCACTTTATTGCTGCCAATTGCTCAATTATTCAGAAAAATGTTCTCAATTTCTTAAGCTTCAGAGAAAAAAAGTCTCATTTCTTTTCCAATGCAGTGATATGTATTATATATGAATATGACTAGGCAGCTAAAGGTTACCCAGGGGATAGAACTATTTTCTAAATCCAGAAATGAATCCCCTTAACAATGAGAGGAGCACCATTTCGTTATCTTTTTATAATAAACAATTTCTTGCCAAATATGCCAAGTGTTAAAAGCATTTATCAATCTCTTCACTTTAATATGTGGCTTTATAATTTAATAACTCATATCAGGGGGCAATAAATCTTTTCCCTACAAGAAGAGAGAATGAATTCAGAACAAGAGAATAGAAAATATATAGGAAAAAAAGAAAGTAGGTATGAAAACTATGGAAGAAAAGGAAAGAATGAGAAAAAGAGAAAGAATAGGAATTAAGAAACAAATATGGTGGGGAAGAGATACAAAAGTAGAGGAAAGAGCATATGAGAAGAAAATAGGAAAAATGAAATAAAGGAGAAAAATATATAATGACCAACAGGTAGAAATACTAATTTATTTTTTAAGTGCAACCAACTTCAAATTTATGATCTACACGGTTACTTATTTCCCCAAAGGAAAAGAGAATTGCATGAGGGTTTTGAATGTCTTAGGATATTAAGAAGTATTTGTCTTTTATTTCACAGCTAGAATCTGTTCAGTTCACAGCTATTCACCTAGATGTACCCTTAACAGAGAGAGGACAAGAAACACAAAGATCAACTTATCTCAACAAAGAAATACTCGCAGCTTTGGTACTGATATGACCTGCAATGACTTAATGCAATGAGTTACATGTACACTAGACTGCTCTGTTTGAGACCAGTGAAACATTCTAAATCAATTTCCCCAAATGTCTTAAGAGGGGGAAAAAAAGGTAAAATAATAGAATAAAAAGAGAAAAAAAACCAACGGACGTTGACTTTGTATCCAAAATGAAATGCAAACAATGATGTCAAAGAAGGAATATGAATTAATATATTTCATTTTGAGCTACAGGTAAACATCCTGAATATAGGGTTAAAGAGTTAAATGACGACTGAGAGACCATCAGCAAAATCTGAATGGCATAAAGTATAAGGCAAAAATACCAGAGTGAATTGAGATTTGTTGATTTTACATATTACTTACTATTAGATTTTGCTTAGCAAAGTGCAGTTCACGTATAACGTAATACAGACTTGCAACTACAGAGCAAATGTCAGCCCTGTATCTGTCCGAGAAGAGCTCGATGCCTGGGAGAAGCTGAGTGATTTCATACTGAGCATAGCAACGTTCTGCTTTGGGGTGTGGAAGTGTGGTTCTGAGCAAACCCTGAAAATGGAAACAGGTGAAATGAAGAGCAATAAATTGCATGTTTAACACTGAAACAGAAAGATAAGTATGTGGATTACTTCCTAAAGTGCTTAGCATATGCCTAGCAGACTGTATCTTGTAATAAATGGTAGTTATTGTTAATATTATCATCATTATGGGTTCAAATGCTTTTATCATTTAAGATGGGCCTTTTAAATTCCACAGTAGTTGGATGCTTATTATTTTCAGAAGAAATTATCATTATATTATCATTTATTGAGGTCAGTTTTGTATTGGCCACTATTGGTAAATTCTTTATAAACACTACCTCATTTACTCCTCATTTACCTTACCCCTACAAGGAAAGATTATTACCTCACACACCATATAATGGAGGCTTAAACAATTAACTTATTTGAGCTCACACAGCTAATGGCGGCAGAAAGAAGATTAAGTCACACTTATTTAAATCAAAATAAATATGTTCTTTCCACTATACCAGTCTACAAGTAGAGGAGATAACAAGTTATTTCAGAAGTCTAAATTAGGCAGCAGTAATTCTGAACTTTTAACCGAATTAAGCAAAAAGATGAATTGTCTAATTTCACCAGTATGTCTTAGGTAATTTATATGACCAACATTGTATTTGATGCTGGGAAACAACACTGGTACACAAATTTGAATTTTACAGTTAGGAGTGCTTCTTATGTTAAGTAATTAACATTAAATGATGACAAATGCATTATGAAATTATTTTAATGTATATATCAGAAAAGAATTTTAACCAGATTGTTCATTAAATTTATCAGGTACCTACTCTAAAATACTACACAGTTGTTTAAGTTTTTAATTTTACAAATATGCTTTAAAATCATAAAGAAATTAACAGGTGTTTAAAATAAATGCCACCAGCTTTCATTTTAGGTATAGTATTACTGAAAAAGTATGTCCATAGTAAGCAAAAATTTAATTTTTCCAATTGCTTATTTTCTAATACATGAACAGCATTCTCTTCAAGAACAAGCAGTATATAAGGAGTCGGTATCAGATTATCATTCCCTTTGCACACCTGCCTCTTCCGCCTCCTGTCTTTAAAGCACAAGCAAGAGGTGCATGGAACATAAGAAAAGTGAAAAGTCTGGCCTTATATTCAGAGAAGGCTTTCCAGAGATCTCATCTACCCAGATTGCATAAACTATCAGACTCGTCTGATACACAGAACAAGGGTGTCCACCCTTCAAAGTAAACAGACCCTTTAGTAGATTGCAAAGGCCCCTGGCTACATCCCTGCATCTCAAAATGTCTTGTATTTCAGATAAAAGTTCCTTTCTTCTTCAGTGAAGTCAAACCAAAATTCTAAGAGCTGCCAACACTATAGTTCTGTAGTCTTCAACTTATTTCTTGCTTTCATTATATGGTATACTTCACATCATGCAATAGAGGAAAACTTTAGTTAGAGATGAGGTAACCTAAGGCAACCATTTGGAGTCAAACAGACAGGCTTCGCAGCTCACTAGCAACACAGTCTTACTAATGATGAGAGACTCAGTTTCCCTATCTGCAAAACTCCTTCCGGAGTCTAAAGAAGAAAGAGACCCTGCTGAATAGTCAAGATGAAAATGCCGCAGGGGTTCAGCCAGTGAAGGAAAGACAGGCTTATGCTATTTCATCAAGGTCCCTTGCGATTTTCCTACCTATGAGTTTTATGAATATGATAAGCCACTGCACTTTTTTTTTCCTGACTGAACGGCCATTACTGTGGAAAGCTATATATAAAGTGTTACCTGAAAGAGTAATGCAGACAAAATGCAACAGTTGGTTCTCTCGTCAACCTCTGAGATCTTAATAAATCTAAATAACAAAAAGAAATGGGTTCATAGACAATTTTCCAATAATAGTTTTATATAAATACATCTCTAATACTCACAGATTTTCTAAAATTAAAATAGTCTTTGTGATTCTAAGAGTGCTATGCTGTCATATAAGATCTAGAATACAGAAATTTATATATATATACATATATACATATATATACATATATATATACATATATATATATATATATATATATGTATATATATATATACACACACACACACATATATAAAATGAAATATCACCAATAATCTTACCACCTAAACATGATTGCTGGTAACATTTTGGCTAATTTTCTTCTGGAAGTTTTTCTTTATATATAAATTGTTAAATTTTCTCTGTAGATCAAAATACCATGCATGTTTTTGCCCACCATACTCTATAGGAAAGCTAAAAATGTGATTGGAGAGGTGAAAGAAACCTGTACCTCTATTGCTTCCATACCTTTAAAATTTCTCACATTATTCAAGTATTTAAAATATTTGTCAGTGCTAACTAAGTGTAAGACACTGTGATGACTTTCACATATGTTATGTGTTATATGTTATGTGTGGCAGGCTGAATAATACTCCCCACTCCCTGCCAAAGAGATCCATGCCTTAATCCCCCAAATCTACGAATATGTTGCTTTCATGGCAGAAATAAGTCAATCAGAGAATGACAAATATCGTATGATTTCACTCATATATGGAATTTAAGAAACAAAAACAGATAAATATATGGGAAGCAAGGGGGAAAAGATAAGAGGGAAACAAACCACAAAAGACTCTTAACAATAAAGAACAAACTGAGGGTTTCTGGAGGGAGGTGGGTGGGAGATGGGCTAGAATGGGTGATGGATATTAAAAAGGGCACTTGTGATGAGCACTGGGTGTTTATATGTAAGTGATGAATCACTGAATTCTACTTCTGAAACCAATATTTCACTGTATATTAGCTAATTAAAATTTAAATTAAAAGAAAGTAATAAAATTGACCTTATATTGGCCCTAAATAAAAAAAAGACTACAGAGGTGATTAAAATTAAGTTTGGGTTCAGTGTAATCACAATGGTCCTTACAAGAGAAAGGCAGTGGAGTCAGAGTCATAGAAAAAGAGATGAACACAGAAACAGAGGTCAGAGAGAAAGAGGGAGGGAGAAAGAGGAAGATAATAGGCTGCTGATCCTGAAGAAAGAAGATGCAGCTGTGAGCTGAGGAGGGCAGAAGGCCTGCAGAAGCTGGAAAAGACCAGGAAGCAGATTCTTCCCTAGAGCCTTCAAGAGAATAGCACAGCCCTACCAATACACTGATTTCAGGACTTCTGACCTCCATAACTGTAAAATAATAAATCTGTGTTGTCTTAAGCCATTAATTTTGTGATAATTTGCTACAGAATTAGGAAACTAATACAATATGTGTTATGAGCTAAATTGTGTGTCCCCCTCCCAAATTCATATTTTGGAGTCCTAACCCCCAATAACCTCAGAATGTGACTGTCCTTGGAGATAGGGACTTCAAAGGGGGTAAGTAGGTTATGATGAGGTCATTAAGGTGGGCCCTAATCCAGCATGACTGATGTCCTTGTAAGAAGAGGAGATTAGGATACAGACATGCATAGAGGGAGGGTGATGTAAGGACACCATGAGAAGACCACCAGCTACAAGCAGGGAGAGAGGCCTCAGAAGAAGCCAACCCTGCCAACATCCTAACCTAAGAATCCAAGCCTCCAAAACTATGAGACAATAACTTCCCCACAAACTGGTCCTTCATTATGGCAACACTAGCAAACTAATATGGTGCGTCACGTAATTCTTGCCACAAGTTTGTAGATGAGAACACTGAGGCTCTGAGAGAATGAGGAGCCAGCCAAGGACCCCAGATTTAGGAGGGGGCTCTCGAATTAGGCCCAAGTCGGCCTGCCTCCACACTGTTAGTCTTGGTCCCATACCAACTGATCACTTGCTCAGTCATTTGTTCCACAAGTAGTTATTAAATGGCAACTCCATGCCAGACACTCAGGAGACCCTGGTGAACAAGCAAAGATCTGTGTCCATGTGATGCCCACACTGTGGGGGAGGGGGTTATAGGCAGAAGAGATGGCCATAGATAATACACATCACAAATAAGGAAAGTGTATAACTTTGTATGGTATGGACATAGCTGTCCACGTATCCCATGTGTCTGAGGCATGGTGCTCTATATGGACAGGTAGGCACCCCACCAAAGGAAGCTCGCCCCATTGTGACACTCACTGAGCTATCTTTGCTGATATGACCGCTCCTTGCAAACATCCCCAAATGCCAACATTTGACAGAAATTTCTCACTATAATCTTTGGAACCTGGAGGTAAATAGCTATTGGTAGCATTGGTGAGCGAGCTACCAAACTCTTTCCATGTATGCAGCACATCTTGTTTTCTGAATATGTCATCAAGAGCTTGGCACCAACATTTAAAAGCAGCCCTAGAAGAGAAACAGAGGATCAAGCAATATGTTTTCTGAGATCTATGTCATTAAATCTAGCTTCCAAAAGAGAAAGCAAATGCACTGAAGAAGCATTTTAATTAAGATGTTAGAGAATGAATCTATACCATTTATGCTCATAACTTTTTCTCTCAGGTAGCATTTGAAGAATAAAATGTAGCAATGGGATATAATCAAAGAACTAAAATTCATGAAAAACAGTATTTTTTCACAATAATTATAAATGTTTTCAAGCAAACAACCAAAGTTTTCCCTTGTTCTACTGGCTCCCAGAAATCTACCTTTTCTTTTCAGCAAAGATGAGAAGGCTTCCCAGTTCATGCAATGCCTGAACTTTAAGACTTCTTTTATTGCAGGCTTGGAGAACATCTGTATTTTTAATCAAGCAAAAGAACAAATGTCAGTTCCTAGGAAATATCTTCCTTACAGTCTCAAGAATATTCTAAGCTGCATCATTCCTTAACTGTGGAGATAAGCAAACTGCAAGCTAATACTGCCTTCACATGTCTCGTGATCCATATACTGAAAGAGAGCAAATGATATTCTATTTACATAGTGGAGTGAGAGACTGGATCTAAGAGATAGGAAACATGGAGAAGGTAGAATAAGAGTCAGGCAGGTGGAAATGGTGGAAAAGAGAAATTCAGAAGAGGCGTGCAAGAGAGAAAGGGCGGGGTGTATATGGAAATGATGTGGGTGGCTGGACTATGGTTTTCTTGGGAGTGTGAAGAAGGAGATAGTGGTAGGGTTATATGCAGGCGTCTAGATGCCTGGTGGGAAAATGTGGATGTTATTCCATAGCAGATGGGAAGCCTTGAAGAGTTTGTTTTTAAGGAGGGATGTGACAAGATCACAGCATATCAGATTTTTCCCTTTACCCAAGTGCATAAAAAAGCACATCTTTAATAGCATCTGAATTTGGACAGGGTGGGGGAGTGGTTTCTGATAAATGCATAAATCTCCAATGAAATTCAGAGATGTCTAGCAAAAACAAAACAAAACAAAACAAAACAAAACAAAACCCAACCAACGTGGCAGTGGTTTTTAATGAAGGCAGTGCTGTCTCCTACAGGGTGTTTTAGAAATCTGAGGAAGGTTGTTGGTTGTCACAATGGGGCATCTCCCAGCATTTCATAGGTGAAGAACAGAGACACTGGATTGCCTGTAATGCACAGAAGTTTTCCCCCACAATTAAGAAAAAAGGTGAGGAACCTATATATAAATTGTCTGAGTCTAACCTCTAACTGCATTTTACACATAAATAGGTCATTTTTGTATGTTTTCAGAATGCTCTGAATTTCCCAGAAATGCAACCACTCACTGTAGCGCTTTGTTTTACCTACATTTATTTGCCATTTTAGAAAACCACTGTCACCAAAATTAACAGTGCTGACAGTACTTGCATCACCAATACAATAAACTGGTATCAGTCTGCATTTGTAGCTATAACATTCATGGCGATTCAAGAACACAGGATATGAACACCTGATTGCTTCATTATACTTTCTAGTGCCTGAGCACCTAAGTGCCACAAATAGATTCTTTTATTATAAAATAGCATTGTGTACCCTTTATTTTATATTTAGAGCTTCATAGTCATTGTTTTAAATAACATGTGTAGAAAGATTATATTAAATATACATTTCATTCCAGGGAGTAAAGGGGGAATTACTAAATGTCTGTTATAAAAAGGGGAGGGAGGGACGTTGGGTCTACAAGATGCACTGCATATATACTGATGAATTTGTAGCAAAGCCAAACCAAGCAGAAAGACAAAGAAAGTGTGATCAGCTAGGGCAGAGCAACAAAACACAACAGTGGTCACATTCCAAAAAGCGGTTCGCAGATTCAGTCAAAGGAGGATCAGCAGAAGAGTGACCTTGCATCTCACCATGGTGACAGCCAGGGGGGGAAAGTGAGGAAGGGGAGGAGCTGGAAGACACTGCTCCATCACTGCCTACAAGATTCTATATTCAAGCTCTCTCATCTGACTTAAAAAAATTTTTTTTAATGTTTGTTTATTTTTGAGAGACAGAGAAAGACATAGCATGAGCAAGGGAGGGCAGAGAGAGAGAGGCAGACACAGAATCCAAAGCAGGCTCCAGGCTCTGAGCGGTCAGCACAGAGCCTGTCGCAGGGCTCAGAATCACGAGCTATGAGATCATGACCTGAGCCAAAGTCGGAAGCCTAACCAACTGAGCCACCCAGGTGCCCCTCTCTTATCTGACTTCTAAAGGTAGCATTTCAGGCCCAGATGCAATCTCAACATTAATGCAGAA